TCCCCCCATTGAATAGGTCACTCGTTTGTTCCTACATCTGTAAGCAAACTAAGTAAGCATCTGTTAATTCTGTTTCCTAACATTATGATCGCTGGTGGTAGATAAATGCATGGCCATTTAAGTAAACAAAGGAATGATGTATTCACTGAAAGTTGAAAGTTGAAAGTTGAAGAGGGCAATTCACTGAGTAGAACATAGCCGTTCACTTAGAACCTTAATAGTAATCTATGCAATTGAAAATATCTATCTTGAATTTTCTATGAAAATTAGATGGCAATTCATTTAGGGGCCTTTTCTAGAATTTTCTATGTTACACTGATCATATTCACACTCTCTTCATTCATCACTTCTTAATTCAAAATGTGTTGCACTGATTTTAAAAGCATGCTAATGTACATACTTCCAAGTGTAAGTAATAAGAATGGGAAGGAAAAATTAAATTGAAATAAATTGTATTTCAAATGAACACTATAACTACACTAAAAGAAAGAAAGGTAGGAAGAAAAAAAAAAAAGGTGGGAGGGAGAGAAGGAAGGAAGAAAACAAGCCAAGTTATCATCCAAGTTACTTATAAACTCAGCATTTGATTTTATCTGTTAAGTCTTAGGCACTGGGGAATAAGAATCACAAACTAATCCTGAATTTTTTTTAGTTGATTCATTACTTGTAGTAGTATGGGCAACTTCAAGTAATCCTGAAACTATTTTAGATTTACTGTTGGATGTAGCACATGAGTAAGTGATATCCCTGGGAGCAAGGATCCCACCATAGAAGAAGGAACATGGAAACACAGAATGTGGGAAGTGAAGAAACAATGATGTCGAGATGGAGGTACCACTGTGAACTCGTATTTTCTAAAATATGCGTATATGCATGTCTATGTGCACATGTATTTTTTTGTAGATTGGCATCCACTGTTTGGATGATTTGGGTTTTATCAAAACGAGTAGAAATAAGGAGTTAGTACCTAAGGTAATGTGCAAAAGGTTGTGAACACATAGCAGCCGGCAACAAGGACAGGTGAAAACCACAGAGGAACATTCTTCAGTTCAGTGTGTGTATGTTTGTATCTATATGCAGGTATGTGTAGATACTTGAATATATTTCCTATCTTTGCCTGCTGAAAGGATCAGGAAACAAATATACTTGAGGAGCATCGAGCACACCAACCACCCAGATCTTGGTCTATAATATCATTTGTGACTAAATGAAGACTGAAGGGCTGATTCCAGGGCTTGGGTAAGGCAGGTGGAAGCCGGGCCTGGAATGTCCTGTCAGGGCAGAAAGGAAGGAAGGGCAAAAACAAACAAGCAAAAACAAAAAAACCCTGAAAATGCTGGGGTGGGGCATGTCACCATATGACAAAGACCAACTTCATGGGATTCACACTGGCCCAAAATAATTTAGTAATTTAAATTGTTTGAAAAACAGAAACTTGTGGGTCCATACCAATAAGGAAGAAATGAAGGAAGGAAAGAGGGAACAATGAGTGGAAAGAAAGGAGAGAGAAAAGGAAGGGAGAAAGGAAAATGAAAGGAAAACAAGGAAAAGAAAAAAAGAAATAGTGGAGATGGAAAATAATCATTTTGTAACTACCGCAGGGAAGACTGGATCAGGAGAAAATCTTCAATGGATGCTAAATCCAGGGTGAACTTCTGATGAGGTACAGGCTATTTTCATGGTCTTAACCTCGCTCCACAGACAGTTTATTAGTGGCAAGGGAGAAAACCTACTCTTCATGCAGTGGATAAACTGGACAGAATGTTGACCAATCACCGGTCAAGGACAGGGACGTCCTGTGCCTTCAGATGGGATACTGGAAGGGGGCCACAATGACACCTATGCAATATTCCACCCCAAAATGCAAAACCCAACTTTAATCACGAGAAAACATCAAACACAAAACGAGTGACTCTACAGTGACAAAAGGTGGGAGGTTTATAGATTTCAAAAATGTCAATGTCATGGCAGACAAAAAGTCGATGGAAATGTTTCAGATGAAAGAAGGCTAAAGAGACCTGAAAACTATATGCAGTGTCTGACCCCAGGCTGCACACTGCGCTGGAAGGGAAATGTTATAAAAGACAACACTGGGTCAACCGACTAAATTGGAGTATGGATGACCGAACGGATAAAATATATTGCATCCAAGCAACTTTTACTGAAGTTGGTAACTCTTTGTTATGTAGGGGATTATCATTATATTTAGAAAATGCACTCTGAAGTAGTTAGCGGTAAATAGCCATTTTGTATTTAGTTTTTGCTCAACTGGTTACGGAAAGAAAAAAGGAGAGAGAAAGTGAAAATGTCAAAGGAAATGGGATACAATGTTCATAAGAGTAAAGATATATCAGTGTTCTTTGTACTGTTTTTATTTTTTTTAATTTTTTAATTAATTTTTTAGAAGATTTTATTTATTTGAGAGAGAGAGAGTGTGAGCCTGAGTGGGGGTAGGGGCAGAGGGAGAGGGACAAGCAGACTCCTCACTTAGTGTGGAGCCCAAAGCGGGGCTCAATCCCACAACCCTGAGATCATGACCTGAATCAAAACGAAGAGTCAGTCGCTCAGCTGACTGAGCAACCCAGGTGCCCTAGTACTGTATTTATTTTTGAATGTTTTTTTGTAAATTTGAAATTATTTCTAAATAAAATTTAACAAAATGTGTTACACCATACTTTTGTTTCTCTCCTTTCTTCATCCACTATAGTTCAGGACTTATGACTCTACATCCTGAAGCAATCTAATACACTGACACAGGATTTATTTTGCTCAAAAAATATTCTCTCAGCTTACTCTCAAGCTTTCCAATTGCCTGAAGGTCCATGAAAAATAAACACCTTAGTTGAGAGCATTGACCCATTTGCCCCAAAAGGCCATTCTAGCCCTGTCAACTACCATATGGATGCATGAAGCAAAACAAAACTCTGTCCCCTGAACATTAGTCTGTGTAGCCCCATCAGAGCCATTCTGCCCTGTATGAATGCTCCCCCACATACTTTTATCAACTGCATCACCCTCTCTTTAAAGCCTAGTTCTAATGTAATCTTTAATTTTAAGATTAATCTTAATCTGTAATCTTAAACTATCGTTTAAACCAGAGTCCTCAACTTCTCTTCTGAACTCCAAGAACACGAACAGCTTATGTCAACCATCCCGTTCATCACCTACTGCTCTAGCCTATCAGTTCTTGTTTGAGTTTTAGACATGTGTTTGTCTTTGTGACATGATGTTGTATCTGGGAAAGTACTTGTCTTCGAATTATACACCTATTAGGATATTAATGAATATAAAGCAACGGACCATGAGTCAAAAAACAAATCAACAACAACAATATAAACAAGCCTAGGTCCTCCTCTAAGTTCTGACAACAGTGGCATTTCAAAGAAACAGAAGTCACTTAACCCCTTTGAACCTCAGTTTCATCATCTGTAAAGTGAGGATGCATATGTCCTGTCCATTTCATTGCGCTGTGTGAGATTTAAGACACACTTAGGGACTGACGAATGTTCCTGTAGTTTTCACATGTCCTTCTCTCCAGGAGCTATGTATTCAAAATCTCTTGAACATGACCTTTGACACTAACTCCTCATTTCTACTCCTTTTGATAAAACTCAAATCGTCCAAATGATGGATGCTACTCTACAAAAACGATTCATTCCTCTTCTAAGAACCATCCTTAACCAAAACTCGCTGAACTTCAGTTGACAGTCCTGCCAAAGCCCGGCAAAAATTCTGCTTTCCTTCCCTAAGTTCACACAGTTCCTTAGAGCCTTCTCATGTTCGGCAATTTTGAATAAGGGCTTATGCTAACAGCTTTCTGGTTGATTTTCTTTCTCAGAAAACAAGATGATATAACACAGTAGTGGTTTCTAAATGCTAATCCATGAACCGGCTGCATGAGAGTCCCCTCTGAAGAGATTTTCAACAAACAAATAAAAAAAACCCAAAACCTAAAACAAAACAACAACAATAAAATGAAAAGAACAACAGTTCCTGGGCTCTTCCTACACTTTCCCTGATGTCAGGCCAGGAACCGGTCCTTTTAAAGCTCTTCAGGTGATTCTGAAATAAAGCTGCACCTACATGTAGAAAAAAGTTCTGGAAAGCCATTAAGGGCAATTGAAATGTAAGATAGTAAAGACGGCTAGAAGTTGGTAGTTTGGTTCATTTGAACTCAGAAATGATTCTCTCAAAAGTTAAAATCCCACACATGCTATTTCCACATTGATAGAATCAGCTGAGCTCTGATCATGGGAACCCCTCAGGACTGAATGTAGGACACACTTCCCTGCTGCACAAGGACTATCTTGTGCCTTGTTCTAAAATAATTAATAATTTTAGAGATGTTCTCTAAAAAAAGAAAAAGAGTTAATATCCCAGTGGGTCATGTGCTTGGAGTTATTTTCAGCAGAGAGAACAAAGGTGCACCAATTCCTCTTTCATTCGGTTTCCAAGTCCCTGGGGGGGACTTTTATACAGTTCACCTCAGTGAGGAATCTACATATCAGGGATTGAACATGACATCTTTAATATCAGAGTTTAACCAACTGAGGTAAATGGCCAGACTTCTAATGAAAAAGTGGTTCACCCGACAGAATGCCAGCATATCTATCAATTTCCCTAGACCCTAAAAAGTATAACTTGTGGCTGTTCATTGCCAAAATGTATAAAAAACAAAGAAATTGAACAGAAATTGGCATGTAAGCAATGACTTCAATATTTTATGAGGCCCTAAGATATTTATCAAGCCACAACACTGAAATATATAACACCTTCTTTAATTACAGGAAAGAACATGACATGAAAGTATTGCTCATTTGAGAGAAAACACTTTTAACATGCTGCTTATTAAATGTCACCGTTGCTGGAAAAATTGGAACGAAAAAATGAACTGTGTGTACCAGCATCAAGTTGTGTAGTTGGTTTTCATAGTCACCTGTAAGAAATGGGAAGGACTAAAGCTTCAGCAAAAGAAAAGCAATGGAAACAGGGGAATTTACCTGTCATGGCCTGTTGGTCATCCACGGTTAACTTTAAACTTTTTCCTCGACGGACCACACGCACTGTGTGCCATTCGTTATCATTGAGGTTATAGCCGGCAAAAAGGGTCTCGGGACCTTTGCCTGTAGAATATGCCAAACAGTCATTATGGACACTCAGAATCAGTCAAGCAAATGAACCTCACAGAGAGTGAGAGAAAGAGACAAAGTAAGGGGTGTGGGAAGCACGGGAGAGGGAGGAGAGACGAGAGAAAGAAATGAGAGAAAGGAGAGAGAGAGAGGAGAGAAGAGACTGGCTGGATCAATTTTCAAGCCCATTAGAGTCAGAGCAAGCAAGGAAAATGACAAGTTAACAGACATTCAGGTGTGACACTTTAAGAAGAATCTTTAACATTATGCATCGATCAGACAAGTGAATGAACCTTGTTGTCATAAATAGGCACAGTCAATATAGCATTGGGAAGCCTCCCAAATTTACACACACTTGCTTGTTGTTGTTTTTCCCAGGGAATTCTCTGATCTTTGCAGTTATGGCTTTCTTATTAATGAAGCAGATAGCAGTGTTGTAGCCTCTGACTTCTGGGAGAGAGCCGACCCTAAAAAATTAGCTAAGCATCTTCAGCTGAAGCAACTAGCCGATTAGATTCTGGCGAGGAGACTGCGCTGGGCGGGGTTGTGTGATGGCTACTCTTGACTCTTGTGTCACGTACCTCCCATGTTCACCAAATTCTTAAGTTTATGGAACGTCGTATCTAAAAACTAGGTCTAGTGGAGTGGGTTTAGATAAAAGTATTGACTTGTAGGAAATGAAAAAAAAAGTCACAGCCAATTAAGGTCTAAGTGTTGGGTGGGAAGGAAGAAAGAAAAGTGAGATTGAACAGCACTAGAGGGCAGGGATTCCCAGCTGAGGACCAAAAGAAAAAAGGCAAGAAATGTAACCACCTGGGAAAGGAGCTGCCAGTGAATCTATGTAAATCCATACAAATGGATTACAAATGGATTTACTTTGGCTTGGAACAGACAAATCATTTCAGAAAGTTGTTTTGTGGAAATTACTGAAATGACAAAGTTAGACAAACATCCCTCTTCCACTTAAAAACAAAGCAAGGGAAAAAATAACTTTAATATGCCTGGAAATTTTTTAATTAAAAAAGTATTTCCACTAATCTGACACTATGATTCACAGAAAAAAAGTAATGAAACGTTTTTAAAGATACATTATTTGGGGATGGATTTTCCCCGTTTTCCAAGTACTGAAACGTGTTGGTATGCTAAAATAATGGAAGACATGACATCCTTGAGTTTCATGACTTTCAACAGATTCAGGATCAGGGTTGGGTTCATAATTTCTTCAACCAAATTCTACCAGCAAAACCAATCAATGTCCAAGACTCATAGGAGGACATAGAAAAGGCCAAGAAGGAGAAAGAGAAGAAGACAGACAGACAGACAGACAGACAGACAGAAAGAAAGAAAGAAAGAAAGAAAGACTAATAGAACCAAGTAGAAGAACCCCAGTAGTCCATCCAACAGCAGATCATTGTTTGCTTTTGGTATTGCTGGCTATCCTGATTTCTCTCTTAGGATATAACAGGAGCAAGCTCTGCTTTTCTTGGTTGGGGTTTCTCTGGGGCTTAAAACAAACCAGTGAGATAAGCTAAATTTTGCAGGAGGAACTGCTTCATGTCTTTAAAAGAAAACATCATTAAGATGAGAAATAATCTCTTTTTGTTTCTTTAGAAAAGTTAAATTATACATCCGGATACATGAATAAAAATGAGTCTAGACAGAACAGTTTTGAGAGATTGATCACTAAATAACTAGAGGAAGCCTTTTAGTTCAGCAACTGCAAAAAAAAAAAAAAACAACAACTTTGAAACCAAATGTTGAAAGCAAGTTGCACGATCAAAGGAACTCTTTCTAGTTTCAACAGTGAAGAAAGAAGCGCTTAATAACTCTGCAGAATCTTAGCATCCTACTGGCAGCAAGGGTCATTCTTAGTTTTGATCTTTGAAAAGAGAATATATCATGTTAAAGCTATTTTTATAGGGAAGACTTTTTCTCTTAGAAATATGTGCTTTTGAAGCAGCTTCACTCCCGTTCTCTTAATTTTAAAAGTGTTTTGTCAAGAAAAAGAAGCTTAGGAGTGATATCATCATTATACCCCATTCTGGGCTTGATCTTGCTCTCAAGTCATAATGCTTAATCTATGAACCAACTATTTCCATAACAACAGGCATAAAATCCAATTAAAAATAACCCTTTGGTTCATAAAAATCTCTGTGGGCCAACTTGAAGCTCCTTTCTTGCATTATTAAAAATGTGAAGAGATTGATTTTGGAAGACAAGGTTTTAAAAATGCACTTAATATTCTCAGTTCAAAACAGTATTGTTATTTATGCAACTTGAAGTGTAATGGACAAGGAGTTAAGAATTGTGGTTGCTAGCCCTTGATTTGCTACTAAGAAAGAAGTAGGGGGCGGTAAATGTTATTATGTACCAGGCATTTTATCTGTTAACTTATTTCATCTTTACAATGTTAACATTTTGCTGATGTGGAACTGAAGGCCTAGGAAACTAAAACTTCTTGCCTCAAGGTCACACAGCTAAAATGTGATAGAAAAGTGTTCCATTCTAGGTTTAAAGGACTCAAAGCCTGCACGCTTTCACCTGTATTAGCCTGTCTCCTAGCTATATGACCTTTGGCTAGAAGCAAAACTTCTCAGTTGCCCTACATCTAAATGAAGGGGATGGGAAAGCCGCTCTTTGTTATGATTTCCCGCTTGCTCTACAGAATGATCACAATGTTAGGAAATCTTACACACCCACTGCATAAGTCATGGTAGGTGGAAACCTCTAAACAGCATACCATACCTCTAAACGTACTAAAGGCATGATATAGAAGAGGGCCATCATTTTGGGACTGAGTTCACATAATTAGCAATTTTTTTTAAAGATTTTATTTATTTATTTGAGAGAGAGAGGGGGAGCAGAGGGAGCACAGAGGGAGAAGCAGACTCCCTGCCGAGCAGGGAGCCCGATGCGGGACTCGATCTCAGGACTCTGGGATCATGACCTGAGTTGAAGGCAGATACATAGTCGACTGAGCCACTCAGGCACCCCCATACTCAGCAATTTGCTAAAACATACAGCTTTTGGTGGTGTCAACAAACCTACTTACGAAAGGGAGGAGATGGTGTGGATGCTATCCGTAATGCCTTAGAGATCTCACACTCTCACATTTAAAACCTATGGAATTGGTAAAGAGAGGTGGCTTCACTGTTTTAATTTTGAGTTTGAGAGTCCTTTGTCCTCTTGTAAAAATGTTAATGGCAAAATTATAGTCCCTATAGCCATGGATGATCTGAATTCCTTTTGAGATTTCCTCTTCTTGATATCTTGAGGATATCAAAATACTGGCAGTAACATCTTTCTCCCAGCATTAATGTGAATGTTATGGGCTGCATGTTCATCGGTTGAAGCCCTAATCCCTCATGTGATGGTGTTAGGAAGGAGGTGGGGCCTTTGAGAGGTGATGAGGTTTAGATGAAGTCATGAGGGTCGAGCCCCACGACAGGATGGGTTATCTTAGAAGAAGAGACGTCGGAACTCTTTCTCTCCATCATGGAAGGACACAGAAAGAAGGTGGCCATCTGCAAGCCAGGAAGAAGGCTCTCACCGAGAACCAAACTTGCCAACAGTCCTTGGACTCACAGTCCAGAACTATGAGAAATAAATGTTGGCTGTTCAAGTCACACAGTCCACGGCATTTGTTATGGGAGTCCAAGTAGACTTAGTAAGCAATATTCTAAAGATTTTAAAGAAAGCCAATAGCATTGTTTCTATTTTAAAGTTAATCATTCTTTATGTTTTGAAGGGAGTTAATATTTGTTTGTAATTTTACACTTGATTCTCACTGTAACTTATTATTTGTCATAGAGATTTTTCCCCCATATTTTAGTTAAGAAAGAGGATTTATTATAATATATATATTATTATAGAGTGTATTATTATAAGACTCAGAGTCAGTAAGGAGTGGAATTAAGACTGAGATCTTGAGGTCTTCCAAGCCCCTTCTAGTGTCCTTTCCACAGGCCCCAAAATGATCTGCAGACAGTAAAAGAAAGGTACAATGTGGCTGAATGACAACAGCTAATATTTAACCACTGGATCACAAAGTCAGCTCTATAGGATAATGCTGTGTTAAAGAATTTTAGAACTAGAAGGGATATGGGAGGTAGAGCAGCCCACGGAGCCGTCTACAAACACCCTGAGGTCCGAAGCAATTAGATGATGTTCTGCTATTTAAATGAAGAGTCCAGTTCCCCAGACTAGCAGTCTAGTGAAATTTCTTTAAATTATTCTGCTATTATATTATGCTGAACTAGACTGAACTTCTTGAAGAACACCAAGATCTGACTCTATGATTTGGTCCATGACTGTGATTTGTTCTGCATCTAAAGTGAAAGTCAGGCAAGAATAAATACTGCTTCCTAACAGTATTTAACAGGGCTTAAGTTACGGTATAAGTGTTTGTTTTCTAGTTGGTGGTATCCACTAGGTTTTCTGGTGACTCTGTAGCTAACATTTTTTAATTTAAATTCATTTAAATAATTTAAAGTCATTCATTACAGATGGAAGTAGACACAAAAACATTTCAGTTTTCCTCAGTCTAGTTCAACTTCATTGTCCTTTTATAACCTACCCATGTAAGAAGTTCATCTGTCCTCACAATTTTACGCCTAAGAAGGGTTGAAGATAACCCCACCTTGAGGCGTAGGACAGAGAGGAAGGGGGGGGGTGTGGGAGTGAGGGGTGGAGTCAGTAGTTCGTCACACAGATCCTTCTTTAAAATCTACTACTACAGAGCCTTGATTGAACCACTAGGACTTGATAAAAGATGATAGCTATTTTTGACCAGATTAATAACCACATTTGCTAGTTACTTTTTACCTTCATTTTCACTATAGGAGGGGATGGTGGAGAAAATTGGATTTTTTTCCCTAGGTCTTCTATCAACAAATTATGTCACCTTAAGTAAGTCATTTATCTTTTCTGTTCCTCATATTTCATCTATAAAATGAGGATACTTGGTAAAAACATAACAAAAATACTCTCCTGTA